CCTCCTCCTCCTCCTCCTCCTCTTCCTCCGCTGAGACGTCATAATACGTTAATACGTATTTCTTTCGGAAGAGTATTCCAAATGTAAGGGGCATCTGAAGATCTCAAATGTTTTGATTGTATGCAAGACTAAATATAAGGTCGTTAAGATATTATAGTCCTTTGTTGTTTGAACGATTATGACATAAATGATTAATTTGTAATTAAGTATATCTTTAACTAGTAGCCAATGTAGTTTAATCAAAATTAGTGTAGTGTGTCCTTTTTTGGAATTTTTTAAACATTCACCGTGTAGCTTAAATTTGGCCTTGGGATAGGGGAAAGCAGTCTTCCGGATTGGCAAATCAGTACCAATACAGCTCTCCACTAAAGACAATCCTATGTAAAGAAAGACGTAAGTGAGTGAAAGAAAAGATGAGGAGACTATGAGTTGCTAGAAGCTAGAAGAAGCATGGGTCTTCCGAAGTAACTGTTTAGGTAAGTTCTTGAAATGGCCTTGACAAAACCCAGAATTTAATTTCCATTGTCGAGTAATCTAATCTTGTCTCAAAGCTATCTGAATTCTGGATGGAACAAGTTCTGGCCTCAGAACCGACGAGCTCTTGGTCTTTTCCCATAGTAACGCCACATCAGTAACAACAAAAAATTCTTTATTTTTATGGAGTGATATTTCAATCTTAGATATTACTAGCTGGGCCCCCTTTCGATGAAAGGAATGATCGGAGGTGCCTATACGTTCTTATCTATACGTTCTTACTTCTCTGACCGACTAGGTTCTTATACTAACCGTTCTCTGATCGTCTAGGCAGGGTTTAATATCAACTAAAAGTCATGTGTATTTAATTAACCGCTTCTTACTCCATTTGCAGTCATGGAGAGTGGAGACGCTGTTAGATAAGAGAGATGAGAGTGACCAGATTAGCGTTTGTTACTTTATAGAAACAGTTGATGTTGATGCTGCTGATTTTGAGAGGGGCGCCAGCCTCGTTATGTTTACTGACGACAGATTTAAATTCAAAGAGATAAAGAAAGAATTTTTCAACACACGGAGGCTTCATGTAGACACATCTGTGAACGGGTTCATTGCAGCGCGATTTGGTAGCGGAAAGTCCCGTTGAGTTTCGTTTCCGAGCGTAAAGTCTTATTGCGACGGTGGATTCAAACAACCTGTACTTTCTATTCGTTTGTGTAGACTAACAGCCAAGTCCGAAACATTTTTAAAAGAGCTTTAGAAATTTGGGTTGCCTTCAAATTGGGTTTTACTGGTCGATGTGAGACTCCCGAGTTTTGAGACTTTTCAAGTTGAAAATAGACAATTATTTAGCCATTGATTACTCGAAATCTACTTGCCTTGCTTAAAAAAAACCTCCTGGGACGAAATCGCAAATGCAAGAAAGAGGCAAGCAAAAGCGACACATATAATTTTTTTATTATAT